CTGCGTTTGTTTTTAGGCACATCTATGTAACTTGTGCTATGGTGGAGGGACTGAAAGCGTAGGCCCTGGGGAAGCCTTGGCCGGCCAGCTGGGATAGACTATGTCCCAGCCCTTGGCCAGCCGCTCCCAGCGGTCTCGGTGGGGAAAGGAGGGCCGAGCCTTGGGCAGGCCTGGGCAAAGCCTAGGTGCTCAAAGCTTCTTCCGGCTTCCCTCCATGTAGGTGAGGCCTTTGGGATGGAGGCCCAGGTGGACACAGCTGAGGCCCATCCTGGCCCATGCACAGAGCTCTTCTGCTCAGAGTGGAAGTGGCAGGTGGACAGTGTGGCCAGGCGGAAACACCACTCTCCTTTGTAGCTGCAGCAGTGTGTGGAGGGCAGAAAGAGAACTGTCTGGAGTCAGACGTGTTCAAATCTTGCCTCTCTGTTCCTTATTTCCTGTATGATTTTAGGAAGGACGTTTCACATCTCTGAGCCTCTGGTGTGTGGGAATGATAAAGCTCACCTCAAAAGGGTGGCTGTGCCGATTTTATGTATGGGATGCACAGTGCCCAGCACATAGTAGGTGCTCAGTAAAGTGGAAGCTGCTATGAGTGGTCAGGAGCACATCTCACAGCGGACTGCCTCTGGGAACGCAGTTCAAGGACACTGCGCCCCCCAGCCCAGCAGCTGGACACCTGCCTGGGTCTAGCCCGTTCGTTCCCACTCTCACAGAGGCACTTGGCATTTCTGCCTTGAACTTCCTCTTCCCTTTGGGAGCCCTGGCGGGGGGGGGGGCAGGGAGCGTACCGCCAGGACGGGAAGCCGAATGCTGTGGAAGAAGGGCTGCAGCACCACGGAGAAGTCCTCCCGTGTGTCGTAGCGACCGGACTCCACCAGCTCGCGCATGCTGCTCTGGAGACAGACGCGTGGGTGCCTTCAACACAGGCCCTGGGATGCCAGGTGACCGGTGGGGCAAGGGTGGGGGTGGTGGCAGCGTCCCCGTCCCCATCTCCCTCGACAGGTGGGCTGACCCAGCTCTTTTGAGAACACAAACACCCTTGATGGCAAATCTCCAGAGTACTGGAAACCACGTGGTAAACCTTTTGGTTTTGGTTTTAAGTGGACTGCAAGCTCTGAAGGGTGAGGCAGGAAGTCGCACTCCAACCCCGAGGAGTCTCCAGAGGGCCCTGGGCTCAGGACCTGTAACCTTCCCACTCAGGGGGTGGCCGGCCTGTTGGGGAGGCAGGGGTGGGAGGGTTGAGGCAGCTGGGCCTCCAGGGTGCAGGGGAGGGAAAGGCGGTCCCGTGGGGCACCCAGGGCTACTGCCCTCTTTAGGCCAAATGTCCGAGTTGAGCCACCAAGCTCGCTGTGAGGACTTGGCCACCTGGATTCCTTCGGGATGACTCTTAGTGGGGTGCCTGCCAGAGACACCGCAGCCAAGTGGACAGAGGAAGGGGCCCCAAGGGTGATGTTACTCCTCAAGCCCTGGTCAGCTCTTCCCTTCCCGGTCGCCTCCCCAGGGTGCTCTGGGCTGGTGAGTTCACCAAGTGGGAGAAGACACCTTCTTGGTCTTACCTGGTAGGCTTGGGTGACGTCCTCCAACCTGGCCAGCTCTTGGGAGCCCTCCCGTGGAGTCAGAACACAGTTACACAAAATGCTGCATGAAGAGGGAGGCAGGAGGACCCAGAGCAGAAGCTGTGGTCAGGGTGTCAGGGGCTGGCTCTGCTGCGTGAGGTGGGGGGAGGGACGGGGGTGGGGGGTGGGTGGGAGGGGTGCGGTGGGGGGAGGGGCTCACCCACCCAAGCCTGGGCTCAGGAGGCCCTGCCACAGGGGCTCAGGGGCAGCTTCGGGCCTGATTCAGGGACTGGATGACGTCCCAAGGGTGCGTGGATGCGCACCCTCTTATGTGAACAGAGCACAAACGTTAGCGGGTGGGCCCGGGGACTGCAGCACATCACACTGAACAGACGCATTTAGGCAAGAAAGTCCAACGTTCAGTGTTTAAGAATCAAGCGCGAGCGCGTCCTCCAGCACTGGGGCTGATGCCTCGGGGTCCCCAGTGCTCAGGCCCTCAGACACCTCCTGAGTTCACACTACTGCCCCACTGTGTCTCCTTTTGTTTTATTAGGAATTATTTCACACCCATAAAATATCCTTAAGGCCAAAAAAGATATCTCTAAAGCACTCGGAATAGTACCTCGTGCACAGTAAAATTTCAAAAAGTAGTTGTTAAATGAATAAATGTATGTATAAGATAGGAAGAATAAAAAACACAGCCCTGTCTACCTCTCACCCAACTTAAGAAACAAAACGCTCCCAAATGGAAGTTCCCTGTCTCCCTCCCCAGTTCGCCTCTCCCCCACAAAGGCCACTGAGTCACGTGGATGACTTCCATGCTTTCTGTTATAGCTGGACCACGTGTGTACACATCCCTGGATGTTGCTCCTTCGCAGGTTGGGCTGCACTGTCTCTCAAACCCTGACCTCCCACACTGTGGTCCCCTGTTTTACAGAGGTTCCCACTGGCACCCGAACTTGGGTACACGGGGACCCTAGCTCTGATCTCCCAGGAAGAGGTTGTCCTGGCATAAACCCCTTGACAGACTCGCAGACACAAGGACAGAGTCCCAGAGGCCCTGAGGAGTCCCCATTTCATGAGCCGTGACACTGGGTGAGTTCTTCTCCAGCCGGGGCAGCCAGCACCCGCCTACCTGGCCTGCTGCACCGGGCACTTGTCAGGGTTCCCTAGGAACACCTGCCGCACGACACTGGGGCTCATGAAGTCCACGAGGTTGACCAAGGCCCTGGGTACCTAAGGGTGAGGCTCCAGATGAAAGGGGGGATCCAGGCAGAACTCAGCTCAGCTGCTTGTGAGTTGGAGTTCTGAGAGCTGTCGTCACCCTGCAAGCTATGCCCTGGGGCCCACGAGGGCGGCAGCATGAATGGGCCTCCTGGACTGAGACAATAGGGCCGACTCGACTCTAAATACTGAGAGCTCCATTCAGCCATCGGTCAGTGAACCCAAATCCAGTAGCTTTAATCTTGGTGAGGTCGGTGCCCTGTTGGCCAGGACATTAGCCCTTGACTGTTTCCCTCTAACCCAACCTGGACTACCTCTGCTGAGCAGGCCAGGGTCTCCGTCACTCAGAGAAGCATCTGGTGGTCAGAGTGCCCCATCCCGGGCAGCGGGAAAGGCTTGTCCATTCCAGGGGATGGGGAGAGAACACACTGGGCACAGGACTGGAGGCGGGCCTGCTGTGGACACACCCTGTGGCTCAGAGTGCCGTGCCCAGCCTGGGAGCCACCCAGCTGCCACCCCCAGGGAATGTCCCAGGTAGTGGTGAGGGGACAATTAGTAAACACATTGCCTTCCCTTCTTCAAGCCTGAGACCCTCTGGGCTGATTCCCAATAGAATGAGGCTTCCTTAGGGGTAGGCCCCAAACTCTGGAAAAGACAAGGGCCCACGACCTTGGCTGCCTCATTCATGGGAAGGGATATTTCACCCTCTTTCCCGCATCCACTTTATCCCTGCCGTGGTTGAGCTGTGTCCAGCTTGTGGGAGTCCCCCAACCCACCTCTCTATGCAGGATGTCCAAGGCATTGCGGAGATGGTCAAAATAGTTGGCTGCAGAATACAGATTCTGGGAAGAGACAGGAGGGAGAAGAGGAGCTGGTTAGGGAAAGAGGGCAGCAGGGCAGAAGTAGCCCCACTTCTGGCTCCAGCCCCAAGGCTTTGTTCTCCCTTGGCCTCCAGCTGTGACCAGCTCATCATGTCAGAATCTGAGATGAACAGTTGACTATTTGCTGTTGTCAAAGATGGGGCAGACAGAAGACTGGAACCTTCAGCCAGAGCTTTCGTTCAGAAGCAGAAAGTGTCATGTCCTCCTTCCCACTGCTTGGGATTTACTGCTGCTTCTCTTTTTGAGTTCTCAGGAATTGTGAGGAAGGGGAACAGAAGTACCAAGTATCTGCAACCTGCGACCTCACCCTACCTGGGGCATGAAGTTGGAGCCAGAAACCTGAGGGTCGTGGGGTAAGAAGTGTGCATGCACATGCATGTGTGTGAATAGTGTGTGAGTGCGTGCACACACACAGGAAAGCTGGACAACCCTAGGGTTCATTCTAGGGACTGTTCTCAAAAAGGATCTCCAACGCCTACAGGTCAGAGTTGAAAGCAATGAGCAGGCTGGCCCGCCCCCCTTACCGAATCTGTGCAGTAGTCACATAAATCACTGCCTCCAATCAGCACCGTGATGACCTTCCAGTCCTCTTGGAAATTTACTCTCTATACAAAGGGAAGAAGATGCTTGATGATTTCCAACAAATAAACAAAAAACACCATGGCTCTAGGAAATCTATTCAACCCTCTAAAACTTCCTTGCCCACTTGAAATAACCTAATCAGAATCTCAGAGATGAAAGAACTTTACAGGTTTATTTATAGACCACAGATTCTTAGCATCAGGAGGGACTCTCAAGGTCATTGCGATCAAGAGCAAACCTCCCTCCAGCTGACGTAATCTCCTTCAGGGGGCCTTGGACAGGGGCTGCCCTACTGCTGCTTGAACGCCTCCAGTGACGGGGGCTCACTGTTTTCATGGCAAATCATTCCACCTGGGGACTTTAGTGGGTCAGAAAGCTAGTGTGTAAAAACAACCATAAATCTCACTCACATGGTCATCTTTCATCTTCTGTATCAGAGTCTGGGCTTGGCTCGCAAGGTCCCTGAGAAGGAGAGGAAATCAGTCCTGTTGAGGAGCAGTGCCTGGATTTTTCATCCTAAAGGGCCTGAACTGGAGGTTTCCATGCATTAACCTCCTACGCCCACCCCCAGCTGGCAGAGACCCTGATGCTTGGGGACAAGGAGCTACTTGCCTGTTCTGGCTAGTATTACAGTGGATAACCTTTTGAAAAGCCAGTTGTGTTTGTCCGAAAGCTGGAGTCAAGGGTACTGTCGATTATACTTGTTATTCACAGTCTCCATTCTAAGACTCCACATGCAAAGTGTCTTTTAGGATTCCATGCTAGGAAACTGTCTGTCTCATTTGAAGAACTGGTATAGATCCTGAAATTAGATCTGGGAAAGTTTTGGCATGCTTCCTCTTTTTACCCTGGCTGCTAGGAAGCTGACAGTTTGGTACTCAGGCACAATAATTGTAAAAAGGCTCATACTTCTTCCCCTCCTCACCCCACCAGTGGTGGTGATTTTTCTCTCTTATGTATATGTTATTTGTGTCTTTTTAAAAATAAACTTAGCTAAATGCTTCTTTTAGAAAGACGTGAAGAATAACTCTACACATATCTGGGTTTATAATTCATGGAAAGACCGGATCTCAGGCATCCCAAGCTCCCCACTAGTTTAGGCCCCTGTTAGAGTGTGAGATGGATCCAGAGAACCATGATCTCCTGGCACCTGGTGGTGGCGCCTGCCCCCCCAAACCCCGTTTCTATTCCCAAGAAGGGTCTTCCCAGGCTGGGCCGGGAGCAAGGAGACCCAGGCTGCTGAGGCTCCCAGGAGCGGGGCAAGAGGCCTCCGTGGGAGGCGATGCTGGGGGAGCCGAGCAGTCTGCTGCCGCTGCCTCTGGTTTCTCAGCTATGTTTCCTGTTAGCTCCGAAGCAGCGGTGGGGACAGGACATGACTTGTTGCCGCTCTATGCAGCCTCTAAGGCTGGAGTTTCTGGCTTGCCCCTCCATTTGGTTGGCACTCCCTGATCTTTTGGGGGAAATTGCCTCTTGTAAGGCTTTGGAGAGAGTGAATCTTTCCAGCACCATTATGCCATGGTAAGATTTAAAAATTGGAGGTTGTTCAGTTAGTTGAATGATTGGAATGTGCTGCAAAGGAAAGCAAGGCCGAGAGGCCAGGATCTAGGGGCAGGGCTCCTGTCCCGGGTCCAGCCCTCTGTCCTCCTTGCAGCCTAGGTCACAGGGGCGGCCAGGGAAGACGGGGGCCAAGAGCCTCTCAAATCATTGCTGTAAATGATAAACATCCTCTTTGCGCACAGAGGTCACTATTACAACCTTAAAGGGGCTACATGCCTCCCACTCTCTACCCGACAGCCCCCTCCCCAAATGCCGTACTTAGCCTTTGCTCCAGGAACAGCCTGATTGAGGAATGCATTCGTGTCGTTGGCTCCCCCTGTGCCCACTGCATAGCCTGTGAGGTTTCCGTTAAACTTCCGAAGGATATCTGGAAGAGGAAGGGGTGCACAGGGCACAGAGAGCTTAGGGTGGAAGGTGGAGTTTTTGCCTGATAGGAGATGGGGCCTCTCTGATTTATAACAACTTAGGGGGAGGGTATAGCTCAGAGGTAGAGCTTTTGCTTAGCATTTACAAGGTCCTGGGTTCAATTCCCAGTACCTTTGTGAAAAATAAATAAATAAACCTAATTACTTCCCCTCTAAAAAAAAATTAAAAAAAAAGAAGGGGGCAAGCCCATTTGAAAAACAAACAAACGAAAAAAATGATTTGATAACACACTGGGCCAAGGCAGCAAGGGCCGCTCAGTTTTTCTTTCTTTCTTTTTTCCTCTACAATTCACAGTTCAGCAAATGCTCACTGTCTCATTTGATTGTCTCTGCACCTTCTGGGACAGTTGAAGAAATCTGAGACTCAGAATGTTTGGTTACCTGCCCCAGGGCACCTGGCCAGCACAGAGAAGGGCCAGGGCTTGAACCCAGGTCTTCAGGTTCCAAATACAGTATTTATTTCACCCTTTCAGCCCCCTGTGCACAGACCTCTCCTCCCATCTCAGTGGCAGTCTGTAAGGAGGATGTCATCGCCCCCTTTCTTAGCTGGGAGGTGCTTTTAGGAAGCCTGGGGGATCAGACGGACTCAGTGGACAGACTCCAACCCCTGGTGGTTACTTACTCGGTAAGGTGGTCACCTTCTCCAGGTAGCTGTCCCCTCCTGAACTGTAGAGGGTGAGGAAGCCAGTGAGAGAGATTGAATCAATACATAGGTTTCACAAAAGAGTGCCCCACCTTTCCTAATGCCCATCAGCACCTGTCAGATGTGGCAGATCCACCTCTCTGTGTTTGAGGGATTCAGAGAGAATGTGAATTTCCCAAGGGGTTGGTTCTCCCAAATTGAAGATTTGAAGGCGAAAGAGAACTGTTTCTTTTCTTCAGCAAATCACGAGGGAGAGCGCTTGGCTGAGTATATACTGTGCGCCCCGCCACCAACCAGACGCTCTACATTAGTTATCTCACATCTCCAAACAAGCCTATGACGTGGATGTTACTAGCTCCATTTTATAGAGTAGGAAGCAGAGGCACACCGGGGTTAACCAACATTCTAAAAGACACTAAAAACCACAATGGTAACTAAAAACCAGCCTGAGCCGGAAACCTTGAGAAAATGGACAGGCTCTTCCCTGCCCAGTCGTCAGGTACATTCTGCTGGAAGGTCCAGGGGACGGCCGCTCGTTGCCTTCCAAGGCGCAGTCTAATTTCATCTCATCTAATATGGTTTAATGGCCTTCAAAGTAACCTCAAGACACACCCAAAGTTTCACTTCCTTTCATGCATTTAAATTGAATACACGTGGGAGGCAAGGAGAGAAGTATTTCTATTTTAACAAAGTCCAATGTACTCTATTTATTGTTATTTTTCTTCTGCGCCTCCCTCCTCAATTCCACCATATTTTTCCAGGCCAAGACATTTTGAGAACACAGCGTTAGCATTCAGCTCACCAGGATAGACTTCCAAAAGATAGGCCATGAATCAAAGTCATGGCTGTTCTTCATTCAAGGGAATACCTGGAATGAACTTGACTAGTTCATACCAGGGTGGTCAAGGGCTTAAATCCAAGGTTCAAGAGCTCCAGGTGGTGGAGAGAAAAGAAGCAGGGTGACCCCTGCCCTTCCACCTCACTCAGATATCTTTCTCCCACCTCCCGTCTGATGTCCAAGCCTAACTTGGCCTCTGAGCATTTTTTTTTCCATCTTCCAATTCTTTCCGAACTCTGCATAAAGCTGCTATTTTAGCTGCTTCCTGATCCTTCTTTCTTTGGACTAAAAGCACTTAATCAGAACACTTTACACTTGGCAGGAAATTATAAATCCATATACCTCCTCCAGTCACTGTGTTCTAACTCTGCCTTCTTTTCTCCTTCAGCAAACATATAAACGGAGACATATGTAAACACACACACATATCAAGTACATTTGACTGTAACTTCTTGTCTAAAACTTTGTTCTAAAACAAGTGTGGTAGCTGTTCAAAACCAATGGGTACAGAAATTTCGCTGAGCCCGTTTTCAGGAGAAAAGAAGGAATTATACAAATAAACATGGAGAAACAGAAATATTTAAGCCCTCATTTTGATTAGAACTATGTGAAACATGAAAAAAAAATAGACACATATGAAGCATCTAGTTTACATGAGCCCCTTCAGATTAATGTAATTTGTATTCTACCATAAGCTCAAAGGCTGAGCTCATTCACTACTAGTCACCCGCAGAGTGCAGAGGAAGGCAGAATAGATGCTCAATAACATGTGTTGGAAGAGGAGTTTCAGTAACACCAGACTGAACTCCTGATTAAAAAGACAAAGAAAGGCGTTTTTTGATAAGCAAATTTTATTTTGGTCCTTAGAATGATGCCAATCAAGCAAACATTTCAACTGAAGGAAAGGCAATTCTCTAAAGACCTCTGCCACACTGTTAAGCTAGCCAGAGCTGGAGCCTTTCACAGCTACATGATTCTCACAGGTCAGGAGGCTTTGGAAATATTCACAGCCAAACCCCCTCCTGCAGATCCTGCTCACAGCCACCCTCCTACCGAGAATTCTCCCTAGTCTGACTGCATGCGGTCCACTCTCTTCACTGTTTCCTTGGAGGAAGAGGCTCCAATTGAGTTCTTAATTTACCTAGAATCATGAATTGCCTCATATTTCCTATCCAGAAGCTTTAATGGCTTCAGAAAATTGCTTTTTCTCAGATCAGTCTACTACATGGACACATCCCAGGGGGCGCTAATAGGTATCACGAACAAAGAAAGAGTTCTGGGATTAAGGGAAACATTGGCTTAAACAGAAACAACTTACACAGATTTCCTCATCTCAGGGCTTCTCAAAGACTTTAATATGCCAACGTGCATGTCAATTCCCCAGGGGAAGGCTATAGTAGGAAATGGTTCCCTCAAAATATAGAAACTGGGGCTAGTGTTTCACGGAACACAGTTTGGGAAACGCTAGTCTATACATTTTGTCAAGTGTCCAGCTATCTCTCAGACTCTGACCAAGAGCTGTTTCTAACACACATGATCTTGGGCAGGTATCTGAAACATTTAGAATAAAGGGTTTAGAGGGACAGCAGCCATTGAATACACGAGGCCTTGGAAACTGGACCTCACTTGTAGGAAGAAACAGAGCCATAGCTGGGTCTCCCCGCTGCTGCAGGGAGAAACATGCAGCAGAAGATGGCCTGTTTGTGTCTGAATCCCAGGAATCCACCCAGTTGAACTGTTTGTGAGACCAGGCAGATCACCCCACTTCCCCTGACTGCACTGCCAGCCTGGATTATTTGGCGTCTGCTGGCTGGTTTGTCTGCTTCCCCTGCTATGATGTGAGGCCAGACTAAGCCTTCTTTAGCTCAAACTAAGTAAAACTGCCACAACCTCATGCTTTTTTTTTTTCCTGGTGGGGATAGATTAGGTTTATTTATTTATTTATTTAACAGAGGACTGGGGATTGAACCTAGGACCTCGTGCACACTGAACACGCACTGCACTGAGCTATACCTCCCTCCACCTGCCCAACCTCATGCTTTTTGGATTGTAATAAGCAGTCCTTTCTCCTGCAGCCTCAGGAACAGCTAGGGTAGAGTGGTCAGTAGGCAATACTCAATTTTGCTCCTCGGCTGTGGGTTAGAGACCACCCACCTGGACCTGGCTGGGGGTGTGTGGGAATCTGGGGGCCTCGGGAGCTGGGAGGCCTTCACCTCAGCCCTCAGCAGGGTGACGATGCCCTCATGCTACCCACACCCAGATCCTCCCTGTGGGTGACTACTGCTGAGTGAGGACCCCTCTCTCCTGCCCGGGGAAAACTCTCTGGGACCGTCCTCAGGGCTGGCCAGGAGCTGTCACAGCCCTCATTGCGCCCACCCCATTCCCTCTCGCTTTCCTGGGAGAAATATTTCATTTGAATTCACCCTGCAGGAAAGGGAGGTGGCCCCACTGCTCATTAGTGCTCTGCCCTCTTGTGGTGGCCGGTGTTCTAGTGCTTTTGAATTCTGAGCTAATTGCCAATTACTGTGACGCGGACATAAACATGAACTATATTAAGAAAGAAAGAAACTTAAGAAAACCCACATCCAACTGCTCTCCTGACACAGCTTCAGCTTTCCTACTTCCTGTGCAGAATGTCTTTTCTCCCCTACCTTACTTAACTGCTAGTCTGTCACCACATCACTGGGTACCACTTTCTCTGGGAAGCCTTCCTACCCCAGCTGGCAGGGTTAGTTATTCTCTTGTCTCTATTCCTGTAGTGCTCAGACATCTTTAATTTTTAAATAACACTTGCCAAGTGAGCCTAAGAATTTGCCTGTGCTTCCCATGTATCCCCCTCACCCACCCGCCTCAATCACGCAGGCAAATGGGAGGGGCTCAGCAACGCCTGTTGGCTGTGATTTTTGTCTTGGTTATTTCCACCTGCAGTGTGTGCTGCGTTTCGGAGTTTTCTGTACGGATGTGTGCATATACATAAAGGCAGAGGTGTGACTACAGAACAACATGAATAAATACAGACAGACATGAAACAGAGACGAGGGAGCATCCACACGAGCACATATACATGCAAAACGGGCAGGTGAAGACCCAGAGATTTGGTGCTTTTCAGGTGCATTTCATGTTGGATTTGTTGACCCAGGAATCTAAGAACCCCGGTTTGCTTCTTCTGCACAATTAAAAGAAAAGGATTATTGACAGTAAAATCACCAAACAGTTACATTTTGCACAAATATATAAGTTTTCCCTCTGAAAGCCTCTTCCAGACCGGGTCCTTGCTCTTTGGTATTTACGCATTTACAGGAGACAACCCCCCACCCACGCTCTGGGGGTGAGCAGGGGATGGGAGGGGTCATGGGTTAACATTACCTAAATGACAGCCCTCGATACTGAGTGGTGACATCAGAAAGGTCATCCAGTTTGGAGCCAATTCCATTGCCAGCCTTTGAAAACATATCAAAATCCACAGGAAAATCAGCAAGTTATAGCAAAGGGAGGCTGTGTGCATGCAGGGCTTTGGAAGGTGTCCCTGACGCATGCACCGTGGTGTGCCCAGAACTTGCCACTTCGGAACTCAGGACATCCAGGCTTGAGTTCTGTGGTGCTCCCTCCAAGTTGTGACCCTTCCCGGATGCTCAGCTGCCTCCTTACAGAACTGAAGTCATGCCCTGCTTACTGCACAGGGTTGTTTTGATGATCAAATTGGATCAGAGTTGTAAAAACTGTTTTGAGACCTCTAAAGTGCTTTACAAATGTGAGACACTGTTACACCATCACTAGCATCATTCTGCTCCCGAGTTCTCTGTACACGTGGAGGAAGCACCTGCAGTGGACAGATTTCTCATACGCTTCCCACTTCTCCTCTTTCCCTCTGGGACATTCTGTGAGGCCACCTTATGGCCTCACAAGCGTTGCCAGGAAGTGGTGCTCTGGGATGGAAAACAGCCGCATTTCTCAGAACTTAAGAGCAGAGCTTTTGCCACAACTATGGTGTTTTTGCTGCTTTGGGTACAGATGCCAAGAGGAAACAGATATGAGGGTTGGAGCTGCTCATCAAGTATAATCCAAAGGGAAAAGAGCGCTGACACAGGTAGCTTTGGAAGGTTTTTTGAGTCAAATGACAAAATTTTGCAATTGTTAAAAAGGTGGTGTTAAGTGTTCAAAACCTCCACTGAGACAATTCAGTTTGCGCCTGAAAAGGTTCCCCTTTGCACACTAGACTGAGAAAAGTGGCTTCAAGATCAAACCTTTGCCATGCTCTCAGACTGTCAGAAGCAGGACAGAGGGGCCAGGGAACGCAGAGGTAAAAAGTGCAGGCCCAGGGTTAGAAGGATGGGGACCTGGAACTGACACAGCCACCCCCACCCCGCATGGGGCTGGAGAGTCCTTACGGTCAGAGAATCTCCCAGGGCAGCCACGACTTGGATGTCTGCTGGTCTCAGGGCATGCACTGCAAAGACAAGCGGATACACTTGAGTCCGTGGGAAGGAAGCTGCAGTCAGAGCCTGGTGATTCTGGCTTTAAGTGAGACCAGAAACACGACCTGCATGTGTTTGGGCCATGGAGGACTCAGCCTTTATGGTGCCAGGTTGGAAGAGGTTAGATGGAAACACTCTCCCCATAAGAGACCCAATAAACGATCCTGGACCTATGGGAAAGGAGCCATGCTGAGAGTGGGGGAGAAGGGGAGGTGAGGGGAGTGGGGAAGGGAGGAAGGGAGAGATGGAGGGGTGGCCGGTAGGGCACAGTGGGATCCCACTATTTTGGTGCCAGTGGTCATGTGGGACACCAGGTGAGACATGAGTGCACTGCCCGACGGGCACTGGGCCGTCTGAGCTGAGGCACAGGGCCTGATGCACAGCTCAGGTAGAGCTGGGCTCTGGATTTCCACCAAGGATCTGAGAAATAGCCATGCCGGGCCTTTCCCTTTCCCCAGGGCTCTTCTGAAGACTCCAGAGATCTTTCCAGTCCTATTGCAGAGCCTGGGCCCAGAGGGCCACCTGCGGAGCTGGCTCCCTCTTGGGACACCCTAGGCACCCCACACCCCACTCCTGGGCCTCAGGGAGGTCACACCCCAGGCTGGGCCTTCGAGAGTGGCGCTCAGGTGGCTCCTCCACTTGTGCTTCCATAAGCAGGCTGAACTGGGAGGGCGGCCAACAGTCCCCAGCCCGGCCGCCTTGGGTCCTGTTGGGTAAGGCTTCACTACCAGGCCCAGGGGTCTCAGGCGACCATGCACACAAGGAGCAAGCACTTGCCATAACTAAGTCATTTAATTATGTTGCAAATATTAGCCACTACATATAAAAATAGATTAAAAATGTTTTCTTCTGTATAGCACAGGGAACTATATTCAATATTTTGTAATAACCTTTAATGAAATAGAATATAAAAACAAATGTATGTATGTATATGCATGACTGGAACACTGTGCTGTACACCAGAAATGGACACATTGTAACTGACTGTACTTCAATTAAAAAAAAAAAAGAAAAAGAAAAGTCTCATCAGGGCACTCACTGCTCTGAGTCCTTGTGGAAGGGCCCTGGGTCCTGGTGTGCCACGGGAAGCTTACCTGAGGTAGGCGGCGAGGCAGAAGGGGCTCTGTCACTGCACATCAGCCAGCTCCCGTGGTCCTAGGGGCGTGGAATGAATCCCAGAATCTCAGGGCTGAAAGGGGCCGGCTGGGCATCAGACTCACTGGGAGAGTTTTACCTACCCTGGGTGGGGGGGCACTAACAGGACATGCGAAGAAGGCTCCCTAGGGGATTCTGGGTATCAGGCTGGGATCCACTATCCTAGCTCAGAACCTGCCTCCCCCACCCTCCAATGTGAAAATCAGGGCATCCACAAAATAAGCCCAGCCCACCGCCCACCACCCCTGCTTCTGCAGCAGCCTTATGAGGGGGCAGCTCTCTTTATTTATGTCTTTGGAGAATCTGTGAGTTGCCTGACTGGCTGGCCCCCTCTCTGGGCTGTTATCCATGGCGAGTCTGAAGGTGCAGGTGGATAGACTTTACAGAAGAGTATGAATCCTCTGTGGCTGCCCACCGAGGGCACCTGCCCACATTCCCACCCTGCCTGTGGGGCCGGTCCCTGCTAGGGGGCTGTCCCCTGCCTTGGCTGCTGAGCCAGAAGGAAGCAACAAGCAGATACCTTCACGCTGTTCTTGTAGGTGCTCAGATACGGCCAGACCTGTGAGACGGTGGGAGAGGGGAGCCACTGCAGCAAATCTGCTTGTTTCCTTCTTTGCTCCCCGCTCACCAGCCTGCAAGCTGACCTGGGGGTAAGCACTTTCCACATTACCAAGCCCTTCCCCGCTAGGCTGCCGGCTGCCGGCTCCCTCCCGGGACACACCCGGCCCTCTCTGCAACCTCCTTGAACAACTAGGTTAGACCCTGCAGGGGCTCCCAGGAGTGAACATCGCTGCTCTCTGTCTCCCTTCCAGCTGGCAGCGGTGGCCATGTCATCTCTTTATCGACCCTCTCCCTTCCCCACTTTCTGTTACTACAAGCCCATGTCCCCTGCTTCCTAGGCCCCCTTGCCACCTTGTACCACTCCCACCCTGCTGCAGTCTGAGCACCTTCCTGCCCAGACCAGAAAAGCCAGTACTTTGAGATCCTGCCCCAGGCAAGCCCCAGCTCAGCGGTTTCCGTCCTGGGCCTGGGACGCCTCTGGGAATCCAGAGGGGCTCACAGAGGTGAGGGAGCAGCTGCGAAGATCCAAGAATCTGACAATCTGTGAGGGAACACCGCAGTCTTGATCTGCTTTGCCTCCCTGATTAATGCTGTTTTCTTGGCTCTGGCTTCTGACACCCTCGACCCCCACCTCCGTCCTGGTAGATATTATTTCAGATCCCTGTTCCTCACTCTTCCCATCCTGCCCTGGGGGCAGTGGCTCCATGGAGATGGGGTACCCTTCTGTCCCATCCTGCCCTTCACGTCCTCCCTGCCTCGAGTCTTCAAAACGAGAGCTGGACAGTGCTGTCAGATTCCTCTTTCCAGCTGGAAAGAGCTGTGCGCGGTCAGACCTGTGGCAAGGCTTGCCACGACATGGGGAGACAGGCGAGCTCTCGCGCTGTCACCCCTCACAGTCCAGCCAGTTAGGGCACTGTGGGCTGGAGTCAGGGATGGGGGGTGGGTAGGTGAACAGAGCTGGGGGTGAGGACAGGAACCTGGGATGAAAGGGACTGAGAAACCTTAATGAGACTTTAAAGGGCTGGGAAAGAGGCTTTAGACAGATGGCGGCAAGGCTGTGCTGTCCACTTTACCTCGTCTGGACATGTGATGTTTATCTCGCCTTCAAAGTTATACTGTCTTGCCTTCTGGCCAACAGGTTCCAGCTAAACCAAGAAGCAGGAAGATGGACAGTGAGAAAGCGGTGGCGAGAATGCGAAGATGGGGGGGAGGTGGGAGGGAGGGATGGAGGAAATGGGGTTTATTATCATTGCTGCATGGGGAACACACCGCCTGAGCCATGGGCCCCTGAAGTCCCCAGAAAGCCTTCTGGAATCTTCTTATCAGAGGGAGAATAGTTTTTCCTCCCTCAGTCATCTTACCATGCTGTTCCAGAGGGCAGAGGCGGCGTGGGCATGAGCCTTGCTACTGAAGTGGAAACAGTCAGGAGCAAAGAAAGAGCTGTCAGGCAGCCCCTCCTGGTCACAGGGCAGAACAGAGGGGTCGTGTTACAGAGAGGTCGGGTAACACAAATGATGGTCAGAAACAGCTGGGCACGACCCCTAGCGCCCACTTATCCATGAGGCTTTACCGGCGTCTTCGGCATGTCCACTTTTTCAAAGAATGGCTGCACGACCACTGTAAAATCTTCCCTCGTGTCGTACTGCCCACTCTCAACCAGCTCGTGAGTCCTCTCCTGTAGGAGGAAGAGGGACAGGGTCAAGGGGCTCTCGGCATCTGCCCTGGCTTTGTGTGGATTCTTTCTCTACCATAGAATTAAACAGAGTCTGACCTTTGAGTGAGACCAGTCTGCAGCAAAATCTCAACTGATCAGGAGCCAGTTTTCAGATCAGCCTTTATCTCAGCCCTCACCCCTAACCTCTGCTGCTGTTGCATCTATTGGACTTAGGCTGGCAAAGAAGAAAAACCTAAGTCCATCCGTTTGATCCTCTTTTAAATCTTCTGATTAAAGACTAGGTTGGAGGTAGGGGGAGTGTGGATTGATTAAGTGACTTTTTTTTTGGATAATCCTTACATTTCTGTCTGACATTTGTCCAGAAAATCAAAGGTGAACCAACAACGATGTTTAATGCCTATTTATATCACTCGCGAGTGGGGTGTGCCTGTGAGCATGTGCGCTCCTGTGCGTGCACACTTCCTTGAGACTCTCGGATCTGTCTAGGAGGTGGCAGGGCTGTTACACTCATCGCTTCCACTGGGCTCAGTTCCAGGAGGATCAGTTACCCTAATTCTGACTCCCACTTCTGCCAGACTCTGGCATTTCACAGCTTTGCCAGGTTGCCATCTTTTAGAGCCAGGATCCCGGCTGGAGGAAGAAGTCAAGGCTTCCATACCCAGAACATTAGTGCAGTCACTTCAGAAGACACCATGACATCAAGACACCTTCTTTTTCCACAGGTCATCCCCTATGCTGGGGATGCCTCGCTTCTGACCTCCTGGGGGAGTCTTCCAGTTACAGGCAGAGCCTTAAGGCAGGCAGAAGGTGCAATACCACTAACTAGCTGTGTGACTTCCAGCAAGATGCTTTCCCTCTCTGGACCACTATTTACTCGTTTGTAAATGGAGGATATTCACCAAGGCCTGGACTATCCCTTAAGTCCCTCCCAATGCTGCTAGTGACTCCATGGATCAGTCACAATGGCTCACAGTGGAACCCTTCACCTCTTGAGAAATGAAACAAGTAGTGTCAAGAAAGCCTGGCACATGGTGGCTATTGACAGCAATGATCATCTCCAGGGTGCGGATGGTAGAGAGTGAGAGGACTCAGAGAGAGGGCTCGATGGCCTCATGTGGCTGAGCTGTGAGCTTCTCCAGGACACTAGATCAGGGTCAGGGACCAAGATCAGGCCTGAGAACAGCTGGCCAATCTAGAACGGTCAGTGAAGGCCGTGTTGGTGAATAGCTCTCCTTCTCTTTGGTTGCCTAGCATCTGAACCCACTTCCTGTGTTTGAAAAACTCCACTATATGAACAGCCTGCTTCTCACTATAGAAGGTGAGAAAGACAGATGCTGCCTTTCCAACGCCCCACGCACATGCCTGAGGGTCCCCCAGTAGATGCTCCCACCTCAGGCTTTGGTTTGGAAGCTAGTGATAGAAAAATGGAGGGACAGCACAGAACCCATCTCATTCCTAGAAGCGGCAGTGACAGTGACAGTGGTGTCCATGGTGTCTCCACTGGATGAGTTCTTTGGCCTAATTTTGATTCTTATGGCATGGTCCCCAGAATTCCAGGATTCTGCAATTTCTGGTGGCTCAGCCTATGACCTTATCTCTTCCAGATACTCTGCTTAAATAATAAATCTGCTTAAATTAACTGGAATTGCATAATCCTTTGTTGCTTGCACCCAACCCCCACTTGGAAAAGGTTTGCTTTCATGGCCATAACCTTGGCTGCCTTCCCTTTCCTGGCGAAGACCATGGACTTCCTCGCCAGAGATGAAGGCGCCTGCTCATGGCAGAAGGAAGTGTAGCTGGGGAGTCACCGAGAGGGCTGGGAGACGGTAAACAGAGGGTCACTCCCCTGAGCCCTGCCACTGCTGGCAGATGTGGCTGCCCTGAGAGATGCAGTAGGGGAGGGGTTCTGCTCCAAGGAGACCTTGGGCCTGAAGGCTGGCTCCATCCTGGAAGCTGCTTCCAGCCTGCTCTAGAAAGGCTAGAAGGCTACCATTGTTCTCTGGAGGGACTGGATGATTATTTAGGGGGAAACTCAAGAGACTCAAGGGTGTCAGCTGCTCCACTCAAAGATTTGATGGAGAAAGACCTAAAGGAACAATTCACAGGCTGTCTGGAGATCATCTGCTGGTTTTCTTTCTCCCTGTGCGCCCCAATAACACTGTTCCCGCAGGAGTCAGGGGCAGCGGGAAGGCATGTTATCTCACTGAATCCTCCAGACTTTCTTGGGTGGCAAGCGTTTCCCACCCAGGAGTCTGAAGCTCATACTCACTCTCCATGGACAACTGGAAATACTTTGTGTGTGTAAGGCCAGGAAGTAAGATGTGGAGATGTGTGTTCAGTGACTTGGCTCTATGGCTTGATTCAAATAAATTGAAACTGCTGCCTTGCAGGTGTCTTTAAATCTGCAAACTGGCCCTTGGTAACCTCACACCCAGTCAGGGTCAAAATAATGTCATCATGTGCTCATTTCCTAACCAGAGCGACGAAGCCATGCCCTAGTCCTTGTGCAGTCCTGGAACCCTTTCCCGGCTTACCTGATACTTCTTGTTTGCCTCGATGAGGGCGGCAAGTTCTGTTGAGTTATCATCAAACTTCAAGACGCAGGGACACAGACTCCTGCGGACCAAACCAAAGAGATGCCCCGCACCATCAGAACCACCGTCTGAGTGCCTGACCCAGAGACATTGGATTGGGAATCAGAACACATTTAACTCGGAGGTTTCAGAAGCCTGTGTTAATAGGGGCCCGGGCTGGCTAATCTGTCACACAGATTTCCCAGACCTTGATTTGCTCATGGAAATGAAATAGTTACGTCTTCTGACACCTGCAGGAGTGATTTTTATGGAGATGAGGTAGCTTATGATTGTCTGAGGACAGCACAGTATAGATAAGGCGTGTGTCCTTTCAACTATTAGTGACAACAATACTAACAATGGGGCTTACATACTGGATGTTTCCTGTGCTGAGAGCCTTATGGGTACTAACTTGTTTAATCCTTTTAGCTATTCCAAAAGTTGTATTATCCCCATTTTATAGATGAGAAGACTGAGGTTCAGCATAGTTAAATAATTTCTCAAAGTCCCATGGATGCTGAGCGTGGGAGCCAGGACTTGAACTCAAGTCTGTCTGGCCTGAATCTGTTAATCCCTAGTTACCTAGTTAAGCTGTTTCTGTCCAGTCTGTACCTGTGCCCTGATGAGCTATCTTGCAAATTTAGGCTTTGGGTCCAGGGGCAGGCGGTGCTAAGAGTGTGAATGGCTCGGTGTAGACTCAGCACCAGGAGAGAAAGCAGAGCCACTGGGACAGAACAGCAGAGAGGCAGGGAGTGCAGGGCACTGGAGAGGCAGCAGGACAAGGTGACCCTGAGTCCATCTAACCCCACAGTCAGGGACTTGGCCATTCCAAATGTGACAAAGTCCTACTCTGAACCTTCCGCTTTAATTGTCTAAAAACCCTGTGGTGATCACCAGCAAGAGACTTTTGGGTGAACTGCTCTGAAATGGAATGAATACACTGAACCCCCGATGTGGCCCAGTGACTGGAGAAAGTGGGAGCCGGGGATGAGTCAGCAGCTGAAAATAGCACGCCTGGCACCAACCGCGCTAACAGGCACGTGTCACCCGGAGCTGTGCTCCCTCTGCGCTCTGCAGCCTCAGGCCTTCCCCGGGGGACCTGTACGATCTAGGCCCCCAGGGGTGTGGACGGACTGGCATGGATCTACAGGGGAACAGCCAGGTACCCCTTAATTTCCAAGAGCAAATCTGATCCTTGTGAATTATTCATTCAGTCATTCAGCAAACAGCCACTGAACCCCTATACCACGCTGGTGGTGACTCAGACACAGAGTTCAGGGCCGGCTGGGGCGGGGAGGCACAAGAGTCATCAGCGTGTGATGTGCTCAGGGCTACAGTGGGGGCCTGTACAGAGCTCCAGGGCTGGGGAGGGGAGAAGGGGATGGGGGCACATAGACACCATGATCTGGACTAACGGTCCAGAGGAGGCCTTGCAGGAAGGAATGGTTTGTGCTTGGGTTAGAAGGACATTTTCTCCCTGAGGGTCACGTGTAGCATTAGAGGAGAGCCATCTTTGGCTCTGGAGATTGGCCTCTAGGGCCAAGACTCTGTGCTCCAGGGAAGGCTCTGTCCTCTGGACCCTGCTGATTCCGACTTGACCACACTCTCTTCTAGAAGGTGAAAACAGCTCTACCTTTGTGAATGCCCAGCCTGGAGCACCCAAACCAGAGGTTCCTTCGGTCCTGGAGCTCGGTCTCTGGGGGTGGTGGGGAGCTCTGGACACACTGAGAAGCAGGCCCTAGCAGCAGCCAGTGAGCCTGGTCCACAGAGGCTCACTCCATCCCTCCTGCTTTCCGCATCCCTCCCTGGAGGACTGAGGGTGACCTGGGCTGCAGGGAACAGAAGCCCAGTTGGGTTGTAAATGCATTCCAGGGGAGCGGAAGCCTAGACTGGGGTCACAAAAGCCCTGGGATGTCGCATCCAGGAGGCCTTATCAGGTTTGACAAGGGGTCTGAGCACTCCTCACACTCCTGCCCTCGGCTCTTCTAAGTAACCAGAGTCACTTTCTGGAAAGGGGCCCATGGAGAAATGTCCATCTCACCGGAGGATCAGCCTCGGGCAGCTGACATTCTTATCCTGGTACAGCTCCCTCAGGTTGATCATCTCCAGCACCTTTACCAGGTTCACAAACGCCCGAGGCACCTGAGCAAAGGCAAGATCAGAACCAAGAGGCCCGAGGCTCGGCAGCTCAGCCTCTCACCTGGGTCTGGGGCCAGCTTCTCCGCTGGGCATCAGGTCTGTGGCCTTTCATCTGGCCCCACCCACTTCCTTCATCCCTGCCTCCTCCCGCCTCTGCTCCCCACTGACATGTTTGTGTTCAGGCTGCTGGGACCAGGACCGACACCTTGGTTAGTGCTGGTCTCCAGGTGAAGGGGACCTGGTAGGGAGGTCTCAGCGGGAAGCCAGAGCCACTTCTGAGCTCAGACTGGAGGCCAAAAGGAAGGAGGCCTACGGTTGAGATGCTCAGAGGTCATGTGGCCTGGCCTTCATACCTCAGCGTGGAGGATGTCCAAAGCCTTCCCAATGTTGGCTACGAAGTTCTCGGGAGAATAGTGAACCTGTAGGCAGAGGAAACGTCTCTGACACCATTCATCATCCAACCTCTCCGCAGACCAGGACCAGAAGGGCAACACTGAATCACAGGTTGTCTTTTGGGGCCCCAGCTTCCATGCCAACCCCACGGCCCTCAGGCTTGTCAAAGCTGTGACCCCTTCCTCTGCATGGAGCTATGAAAGATCTGGGTCCACTTCATGTCAACTAGACAGAGGGCCTTAGCTAAAGCACGGCACACCTCTGGGTCCCTCTACAATGAGGTGCTGAGCAGAGGACCTCTAAGATCGCCTGCAGCTTGGACATTTTTTGTCCTAAGGCCTGATCACTTCCTCTTGGTGCCTCAAGTGCCTGGGAACCCACAGCCCAATCAAATCACTTAAGTAGATACCAAGAGGGGAAGGGGGTCCCGCAAACCCCGTCCCAAGCACAGATACATTTTAATGGTGATTTCCCCTGATTGCAATACTTGTGGTTTTTAAACTTTTTGAAAGCCGTGGAACTCTTCCTCTGAACAAAATCTAACCAAGAACCCTGCTCTAATAAACAGATCAAAGCTTCAGAGCAAGCAGAGGAGGGGCCCATGGTCCCACCTGCCCTCACCCCAGCCACCCCGAGCCCCCACTGGGGGCTCTTCACGTCACAGCTGGAAACCCCAGACCTGGTGACATTGCTGCCAGGAAAGCAGGCCGAGAGGGGTCTAGGGGGCAGGGTCATCCCCCAGGGCAGTTGCTCTCAGGCCACGGCAAGACCCGCCACTTCTTAAACTTTGCTCTGCTGGTCCCCTTTCTGCCTGACAAGCTTCTCCTGTTCATGTCCCAGATGGAAAGTCTCCTGCTCTCTGTAAACCTCTGACACCACCTGCTCCCCCTCCCACATTCCATGGCAGTTCGGACCCCAGACCTCTCTTCTGTGTGCAGCACGAGAAACACACCGGGACGTTTTCTCATCGAGTCATGGTGGGTTGTCTGTGTCTCCCTGCCCTGGCAGTGTGAGTTCCTTGAGGACAGAGCTGTGTGTCAGCGGCTGCCGGGCCCCCAGATCTGTGCCAGACTGCAAGCCAAGTCCTAGCCCAGCTGCACTGCTCTGGTGACCGTGAGTAGAAATCCTTCCCCGGGGGACCCTTGGGGGTTAGGGCCTGGGGACTTACCATGTCATCACAGAAATCACAGAGATCATTGCCTCCTATAAACAGGGTTATTATCTTCCAATCTTCCTGGAAATTTATGTTCTGGAATGAATGGGAAACAAATAAATGCCTTGCCCAGAGTCAAGTCCAGGAAAATACAAAGTGCTGAATGCTGCAGGGACAGGTCCTCACACACCAGAGGGTTTAGTGGACGTTGATATTTTCTGTTCTTTGGTTTGGGGGTTCTGAGTCAGAAGTCATGGGTGCAAAATCATTTGCTATTTTTTTTAAAGGGGGATTCTCTGGACTTCCACGTGGCCCTGTCCTCCCGCAGAGCAGACCCTCCCCGTCTCCGTGATTTCTCACGCTCACTCCCTGCTCCGGGCAGTCCTGCCTCAAGGGGTCCCAGGCAGCACCTCCGCAGACTTACCGTGTTACTCTTCATCAGGTCCACCAGCCTCCTGGCCTGGACAGGTAAATCCCTGCGGGCACACACAGGGAGAAGTCATGTGAGCAGCGGTGGCTGTGAAGCTGGGGCGGGGAGGGGACTTAGAAGAGGGGTGGGGGATAAGATACGGAGCCGGAAAGTGGACTGATGGCCATGCTCTGTCACATGGCTTGTCTCCGTTTTGTCTCTGCCTGGCAGGGGAGGGGGCGGGGGGTGGGGGGTGGGGGTGGGAATCGTGACTGTGCCCTCGCAAGGGCAGAGCATCCTACACGTGAGGGGGTGACTGTCAGTGTGGTTGTTTTCTGACTGGCATGTTTGATTACATACTTTTCTTTCTCTTCCCAGCCAGGCTCATTCAGGGCACACACAGGGCCGTGCGTGAGCAGTTCCCGTCACGCATGGCCCGGCACAAGCCCGTTTCTGCAGGTGCCGTGACCACAGCCTCAAGGGCATTCTCACTTTCAAGGGGACGTGGTCGAGTCAGACAACCTGGGTTTGACATTTGGTTGCCTCTTGCTAACTGTGGGAATGCGACTTACTTAAATTCTCACAGTCCAAAAAAGATAGGAGATAACCCCCGCTGCCTTAATGGGTCTTAGAGATGCTCAGGGTGGGCCCTGTGGGTGTCGGGCAGCATGGGTTTGAATCCTGCTTCCACCATGGACCAGCTGTGGGACCTTGGACCTTGGCAAAGTACTTAACCTTGTAAACCCTCAGTTTCCTCCTTTGGAAGAATGGGGATGACAAGTATACATTCTTCGAAGAGAAGTTGGGTAGATTAAATAAGGTGCCCATAAAGAACTTAGAACAGCACATGGTAAACCACATTAGAAATAATCCACTGAATTACTTCAACCATCACCGGTAGAGTCCCTGGCACAGTACTGAGCAGGAAACACGAGTTGTTATCCTCTTCCTCTCTTAACTATTGGCCCAACTGGCCTGGTCTTGGTCATAGTGGAGTAGGAATCAGATAACCCAGGTGGAGACTCTGGGTCAACCGCTAAACCTCCTTGAGCCTCAGCTCCCTCCTCTGCAGCTCTGCAGTCAGCAGGGCAGCTGCTTTTTCTGTGGACCCAAGTTTGGGGATGGTTACTTGGCTTCTCTGAGCCTCAGTACATCGTCAAGAAAACACAGGCACCTGGCCCTGTGCTCTGTCCATCTCACAGTTACTGCACAGAGCACAAGAGATAAGAAACGTGAAGCTGCTCTGTAAGGTGCACACTGCGGTATGTGTCTGATGGGTCGAAATCAGAGGACCCGGAATGAGGAAGGCCTGCAGGGCACAAAGATGACAGGCCCCGCGCTCGGGATCACGCATTTGATCAGGCCGCTTCATCTCTTTGTGCTACAGTGTCACAAAGATTGTCAATCCCTAACTCTTCCCTACAGCTCAGGACGTGCTTGGACAAGTGGATTCCTTGCATGAAAGAGCCTCAAGGCCTCGGGGGAAGCAGGGAAAAATCCAGGACCACGTGAGTCATACTCTGTTTTGGTTACTTTTATGCTTTCAACTAAGGTTTCGTTCTGGCACACCTTCCTGACCTAATCGTGCTCAGAGCTGCCTTTCCGCTTACACCACCAGCTGACACGTTTGGAAAAAAAGCAAGATTTTGGTAACATTAATGTAAGCCCCAAATTTTAAGCAGTATATCAGTAGCTTTTCACCCCTCCCCCACCAAAAGGAAAGTGAAGCCACAGAATTCGTTATAAAACCTATTAGGTTTTGTATGATCTCTGCTTCAGATAATCTGCCACCTTTCCCATCGTGAATGAGTGACTTTGGTCAGGGGCTCGTGATCAGGATGGTGTTGAGAGCTAAGAGAATGATGTCAGGGGATCTCGCAGCCAACACACAGGAATCCCTAGGAACAACACGGTAAAGCTTGTAATTATTCTAGCAGAAATGTAGGACTAAGAAGCAGAAAGGATCCTTCCATTTATCTTTCCAAGACTGGACACGGCACTCACGGGTTCTCTGACCGGCTAGCAAACCCAAAGAAGCACTCAGGGCTCCGGGATCATAGAGAGAAATGGAGGACCCAGGAAAGCCGAACCTGTTCTCTGGAATCCTCCATCCAGTGCCCACAGACCACGATTCGGTGGTCCCCTTGCTCTCTGACATTTTTCCCCAGGTGGGTCCTGCAGCCCTGCTGCACTGTTGCCGGGACCACTGTCCTGACCCGGCATGTCTGCACTATTCACAGCTCACCAGAACGTTCACTTTCAGCATGGCACTGAGCCTCACAGCCGCCCCGTGGGAGAGGTTCAGCCCCATCTCTTAGAGGCTCAGGCTTAAAGAGGCCAGGGGAGGCTCAGATTCATGTCCCCTGTATCCCCTGCCCCCAGGACTGGTGCTCTTCCTGCTAACCGAGAAGAGCGCAAAGTTTAGAGCCTGAAAAAGCTGCCCGGAAAGCAAATCTGAGAAAGAGAGAAGAGGACATGAAAGAGCATTAACAGTGATAAGAACTGGGACTCAGGGTGAGTCCTCTTATGACCGCTGTCTTGTGTGAACACGGGATTCCTAGGTGAGGCAAAGAAATTTGCTCAGAGCACGTACCTGGCATCCGAATTAACTGTGACTAGTTCCTGGCGGGGGGGGGCTAGCAGGTGTCTGTGACCCACAGCAAGGGGGCACCCAGTCCCATCTTTGACCCCCAGGCCCCTCCCTCACACCAAGCCCCCAGCCTTCAGCCACACACCCCAAGTTGAGGCCAAGCCCCTAACCAGGTTCCCGGATGACCTGTGCGGTTCACGCCCCCCAGGCTCCCGCGCTCACTCAGCTCGGGCTCCTGGCACGGCCTGGTTCAGGAAGGCTCTGGGACTGCTTTCTTTCCCGGTGCCAACAGAGAAGCCCTTCAGAGAAGGGTTGAACTCCCGGAGAATGTCTGGAAACACAAGGAAGAGACATGTAGTCACTCCTCCAAGGCCTACTTTAAATTCCTGTGGAGACAAGGCAGACCCCACCCCCACAGCCCTCCCCATTACTGTTCACTCGGCACCAAAATAAAACGTCCGGTAGGCTGGCGCTCAGCCACGGGGGCAGCACACAGAGGTGCTCAATGAACTACTGCTGAGTAAACGCCAGTCTGGCTCAGGGGCTGCTCGCGTACGTTTTTCTTTTTTTCTAAATATATAATTGCTTTATTGAGATATAACTCATCTACCAGAAAATTCACCAATTAAAGTATAATTCAATAGTTTTTAGTGCATTCATGCAGTTGTGCAACTGTCACCCCAATGAAGTTTCGAACAATTTCATCACCTCAGAAAGAAACCTTGGACCCATTAGCAGTCATTTCTTCCAGCCCCATAGCAACCAGTAATCTCCTTTCTATCGCTGCAGGTTTGCTGATTCTGGATGCTCATGTAAGTGGAATCATATAATACAGTATGTCTTTTGTGACTGGCTTCCTCCACTTAGCATGTTATCAGTGTTCATCTATCTTATAGCAGGTGTCAGTATTTTGCCCCTTTTTATTGACAAATAATGTTCCGTTGGACGGATGCACCACATTTTTGGATTTTAAATGAACTTTGCAGGTGTGGGATAAACCCCTTCTGGTCACGGAGCATAGTCCTTTCTGTACATTGCTGCATTCAGTGTGCCAGTGTTTTTTTGAGGATTCTTACATCAATAGTCAAACGAGACAGTGTCCTGCTTTCTTTCCTTGTGATGGCTTTTTTCTTATTTTGATATTAGGATAATACTGGCCCCACAGAATCAATTTGGAAGGATTCCTTCCTTTTCTACTTTTGAGAGGAATTTGGGAAGAACTGAAATTAATTCTTCTTTAAATGTTTGATGGAATTCACCAGTGAAACCAGAAAACTCTGAGCTTTCTTTGGATAGGAAGTTTTAAATTACCAATTCAATCTCTTCACTTGTTATACATCTATTCAGACTTTTTATTTCTATTTTTTTTTCTTGAATTAGTTCTAGCATCTGTATATCTTTCTAGGAATTTGTCCATTTCATCTAAGCTATCTAATTGATTGTCATACAGTTGTTATGATTGTTCAAAGTATTCTCTCATAACCCTTTTTATTTCTGTGCTAATGTCTCCTCTTTCATTTCTGATTTTTAGGGGCTCTTCCCCTCGTCCACCCTGGTCAGTCTAACCACTTGCTGATTTTGTTCGACTTTTCAGTCTTATACGTCCTAATGCTTTTACCACATTGGATCTATACTTTTCATTTTTCCATCTCCCAAACTTGGCTGAGAACTCTGGAGAGCAGGGTCTGTATACATCCTGGAGGCTCACAAGTGCTCAATATACGTTTATGGACTAAATTAAGAATAACTCACAATAGCCAAGACATGAGAGCAACCTAAATGTCCACGGACAGGTGACTTGATACAGAAGATGTGGTGTCTGTGTATGTGTGTGTGTGTGTATATATATATATATATACATATATATATATGTATATATATAAGAGAACACACACACATATATAACAGAATACTACTCAGCCATAAAAAAGAATTAAATAATGCCATTTGCAGCAATGTGGATGACCTAGAGATTATCATACTAAGTGAAAAAAGTCAGACAAAGAAAGACAAATATTATTACTTATATGTGGAATCTTAAAAAAATTACATGAACTTATTTAGAAAACAAAAAGAGACAGACACAGAAAAGAAACTTATGGCTACCAAAGCGGAAAGGAGGGGAAGGGATAAATTGGGAGTTTGGGATTAGCAGACACAAACTACTATAAACAGAATAAACAACAACAAGGTCCTACTGTATAGCACAGGGAACTGTATTCAGTAACTTGTAATAACCTATCATGAAAAAGAATATGCAAAAAATATAGCTATGTGTATAAATGAATCACTATGCTGTACACCAGAAACACAACATTGTAAATCAACTACATGTCAATTTAAAAAGAAAAGAATAACTCAAAGTTGAGAAAGGCTAGGAGAATTGTTGAAAGTCACATGGTTACTGAGAATGGAACCCCACTCTAGAACACGGATCTCTTGGCTCCGGGACAGGGTGCTTTCCCTGGACCTACGGGCTGCTAGGGTGTGGGAAAGGAACCGGCTGGCTGTCAGTCAGGACTTTCAGGCATCATGCTGTCCAGCAGAGCACTCTCTAGAACCGAGCACTCCTGCAGGGCAGACACGACACAGATGGATTGAACTCATTCCTTGTGGCTTTGGGGACACTGTAGCAATGAATGGAAATTACTCTGATTTCTATTTGAAAGGAGGAAGAGCAGTGAAATCACTAGCGCCATCTGACAATGGAAGGGATTGTCCTGGACTCCCTAATTGCTGGCAGAGTCCAGCACCGGCAGGCTAGGTACTTCTCAGGAATGCCATAGAAAGGCACTGCTCACTGGATAGGGCAAGAACTTGCTGGTGCACGCAGTTCCCTCTGCCAGGAACGCCCCATTCCCTTTCCTTCCATGACGAAGTCCAGTTGTTAAAGCCCCCTTTCCAAAGGCAGGGTCATTTGCTTCATTTTCCTGTTTTCCAAGCACCCAGCACTGGAGTACTTGCTGGACTCCACTGAATAGGGAGCTGAACTGACGTTCTGTTCTGAACCTATGTTCTCATAAGTTTTCCAACACATTTCCACGTGATTACTTCCCCGTGGATTATCCAGTCCCAACAATCAATCTATCTCCACAGCTCTAGTAAGGACATGTTCTGTTGCTCGGCTAAGCGTGTCAGGGGAGTCCACCAAAGGGATGACACTGTCTCGATCTTTTACGTGTCACTTTACTGAAATGTTGTGGAAAGTTTGAGTCAGATGATTTCCAACCGTGCTATCCATCACAAGAGCATGGAATCAGAGAGCCCAGTATATGCGGGCCCAGCTCACGGCCCAGTCAATTACATTCACAAAAGCAACCCAAACCACCCCTTCGCGATAGCGGGGCTTATCTACCGCTCTTGTGTGTGGACTTAAAAATAAAGAAGACAGGGTTTACTTGTGCCACAGAACTGTGCCTACTCAAATTCAACAGGATTTGCAAACAGCAAGAACAGATAACACGTGTGAAGTGCAGTCAGTTCTGCCCATGTGAGATCAAGTCCCCTCTATCATCAAGGTCTTGGTGACTTAAAGCTCAAATAATTTCTTAGCTGCTAAAGATATATTGCCAAGGGATAATTAGATAATTACAAGAAAAGTAAATAAGAATGGAACCGATTGAATTCCTCTCAGGCAAAATGAATAACCAGAAGATTTTAAGGGAAGAGAATTCAACTGTAACATCTGTTGTATATGCACTTTAAGAACAAGCACTGTGTATGCACTAAGGAGCATAAAAGGATGACTAAGATAAGACCATATAGAGAAGGTAGTCAGGCTTAAAACAAATCATTCCAAGCACGTTATTGGTGAAGTAATTTAAGGAAAATGTTGCACCTCAAATATGGCGATCTTTGTACAGCCTGAACAAGGTGATAGCAGCGTTTCCTAAGACAACACACAGGAAATCAACGCCTTTGTATGCAGTGGCGTCAATTGTAGCCCCAGCCTAGATCAACGCCTCCCAGAGGGGTGCTCTGTTCAGAATGACAAGCAAGGCAGAGATGGGTTTCCTTTGCTTCCTTCCTCAATCATTTCTTAATAATCACTTGCACTAAGAATTGGCCTGAGCATTCTTTTCCTCTTACTCTCTTCTTTTCCTTGGACAAATACAATTTCTCCTTAAAAAAATAAATAAATAAAAATAAAAAATCTCCAAGGCTTAAATCACTTTCAAGGAACAGAGCAGGGTGACCGCTCGGGGAAACAGCGCCCCCTGCCGAACGCGGCTGGCTCCTGCCGCCGAGTCCCGGCCAAGCTCGCGGCCGCCGCCAGGGGGAGCTGCAGAAACGCGCAGGACGAGCGAGCCCGCCCTGAACCCCAGAGAGCGCGTACTCACTTGGCAGGGTGATGACGCTGCTGAGGTTCTGGTCGCCGCCGGCGCTGCATGGTGGGGACAGAAAAGAAAAGGAAGGTTAAAACAGCCAGCGATGCTGAAACACCACAGACACGGCCAAGACAGATCTTTCTCCTTCTGAGAAACATCCTGGGTGGGGAGGGTTGAGGGCAGTGATTTGCCCTTTCCTCCTTATTTCTGGAGAAAAACTGAAAAAAAAAAAAAAAAAACCAAACCAGAATACAGCAACTCCTCTCTCCTTGCCCCAGAAACCAGAACATCCAAACAAAAAACTGATTTAAACTGTCATGGCTGACTTGTTTGGTTTTTAACCTTGAGCTTTGACCTTGAGGCAGGGTCTTCTAAAGGCAAAGTGGCCCTTCCTTGGAAGCAGAGCCCAGTCCTGCCCTACTAGCTGTGCGTTATTATTATCATTGAAAACACTGTTTAAAAAGTTTGCCCCCATCATTCTCTTCCTGTCTGGCTTAGAGAAAACCCTTATCTTCTAGAGAGCAGCCCATTTCTGAGCCACTTCTGAAATTCCAAGGAAATCAAAGTTGGATGGATTTATAGGCATGAAAATCTGCAGCATTCCAGAGTTGACTGGATTCCCTGCTTTTCCACATCTCATTCTCTGCCAAGTAAGTCTGGGAACATTTCAAAGGCTCTCAGAACGTCTGGGGTTTAACCCTGTGCGGCATCACCAGGGAGGATGCCAGGGATTCAACACCCAGGTTCAAGCTGGTGCCAGAGAGGCCGGTTCCCTCAGAGGCTGAGGAAGCACCAGACCTGCTCTCTCATGCTTGGCACGAGCTGGGCTTTCAAAGTCCAGAGATAAAGCAGGAGGGCGGCTTAGTGCAGCTTGTGGTGGCCTGGATTTCATCACAGGCGGAGCAGGAACCAGTCAGCACGAAGTTATACATGATGGGGGAATGTGCCTGATTAGGGGTCAGGAGCCATCCACTCCACTTCTTACTCTTTTACCATTTGGCTGTGTGATCTTGGGCAGGTTACTTGCCCTCTCTGAGCCACGCTTCCTCATCTGTAAAATGAAGGCCCTTTAATAATGATCCCAGCTACCATTTATACCTAGCTTTGTGTCAGGCACTGTGCTGGGTACTTAAATTTCTCTCTAAGCCTTCAGACAGTGCTAAGGCAATATTAGTGTCTTTGCATCAGATGAGGAGACCAGCTCAGAGAGTCTGAGTAACTTGCCCGAGGTCACGCAGAGCCGGGCAGCTGAGGCTCAGACTTGACTCTGCCTCCTTCTGAGATTACTACCCAGAGAGAGAAATAGAACCAACGCTTTCCCAATCCAAACATTTGAGTAGTTTCTCTCCTACACTCCTCCTGCTCAGGTCCTAGCTTGTTTGGGGAAATGCAGTGGTTTGGCAAAGCTGGCAAATACCTTCCTTAAATTAAACCTAGAAATTTCTCATGGAAGAGCACCTGTGACTCATCCCTCTGCCAGAGGAATCGTTCTCTACAACAGTCATGGGCCCTCCCCTGCTCTGCGATAAGGCATCTTTAGGGTCCTGCCATGCCCTCACTCACCTCCAGGACAGACCTCGATACTGAGTCAAGACGTCCAGGACATTCCCAGGCTTGGAGCCGGCCCCATTACCTGCCTGAAAGGGAACAACAAGGGGGTGAGTTTCCCTGCCCTCTGGCCAGAAGGTCTGAGACCTTGTTCTGGCCGAGCCCAGATGCCTGATGCTTCAGAATCCAGAGTCGTGACAGCACCATGTCTCGCCGTGCATCCTGCTCACCAGAAGTGAGTGTGAACTCCCGCGAGGAGTCCCAGGGCAGTCCACGCTCGGCCTCTCCCTGTGGAGCCCTGCCCAGACCAAGACCAAGTGACCCTAGGCTGGCAAAGGTGCTCTGAGAATCAGACCGCAGTGTACAGTTTTCCAAAGGACACATTTCAGCGTCCCATTTCCCTCAGTTTTCAGAAGTTGTGAATGCTCTCATAAAAGTATACTGTCATCCTTTTATATGAACACATCACAAATATGTACAATTTAAAAAATGAACATGAAATGCCATGTACATACTCCTCAGCTAAAGAAAAGGCAGGATCCTTTAAAACCTCAATCTGGACACACTCTGCAGGTGCCCGTCCCCTGCCTGGAGCTTGCGGTTTCTGAGCAGAGCCATTCCTGCTCAGAAGGTCCTGCCCCGGGATAGCCTCCCAGGCAGCCTGTGGGGAAGGCTGGCCTCCACAAGAGCCGCCCCACCCAGGGTGTGATCCCTGCTCTGGCGCGCAATTCCTCTGCCACCTGCCAGGAACGTCACGTTCAGAGTGCTGGCTCCCTGGAAGTCCTGAATAGCTGTGCTGATTCTTGACGACTCCTTATCCCGAGAGCATCTTCAAGGAGACCGGGGGTGATGGGGAGGCCAGCTCAGGCCAGACTCCGCAGGAAGGGGTTGGGATGAGCAATGCCAAGCCTGCCTACCCGTCCTCCCCAGAAGGTTGTGAGCAGCAGGGCCCGTGGGATAAGTTGCTGAGGGCTCATGGGGGAGACAGCTCTGGGACAGGGACAGAATTCTGGATGCAGGGCCAGGACCCACCCATTCGATCCGCATCCAGCACTATGTGCCCACTTCACCTCCTCCAGCATCACCCTCTTACTGATTAAGTTTAAGGAGTCCCAGGTACCAGGGTTTTGTTGAAGATACTGAGTGAGGTAATAGCAATGTGAACAGGCCACAAACTTGAAAGTTACCAGCTGGTATTTGGGAGAAGATTCAGCTGGAAGCCCTGGATTCTACTGACCCCAAGAACAGCAGCTGGACTTGTCTGCAATGAGTTGCTGTTGAACAGAGTCTGGGAGCCTCAGGGACCTCCCCCACCCTCACCTCGGTGATCTAAAGGCCTGATTCTGCTTTTCCTGGATAGCCCTTTGCAGGGCCTGGAAGGTCACCCGGAGCAGCTGCAGACTGGGCTGGGGTCATCTTTAGTACCTCCAACCTCTTCCACTGACCTGTTTTCTCACCCTTGCCCTTCCCCTCCTCATCCCCCGCTTAAGAAGTTGTTTCTGTCCCATCATCCCTTTGCCCCTTTCCTATAGGACAAAGTGAAGCACCGGGTGTTTGAGGGAGCCCCGTGCTGTGGGTGGGAGACCTGGTCCATCTCGGCCCCACTACTGACAAGCTGTGCGATTTGGGTCACTTCCATCACGGGTGTTCCCTTTGAGGTCCCCTCCCTTCCTTCTGTCTCTCCCATTCCAGTGTTGGGAGAGGAAGGATGAGGTTAGAATGGAGCTAGGAAAACATGACAGGCAGAGAATGGTGGATTCTGGGGTGGGCAGGGAAGTGGAGAGGGGCTGAGGTCAGGACCAAGACGGCAACGCTTAAGAGCTAGGAGTAAGTTTCTCCTGTTAGTCAGAGTTAGTTAATCTTCTCCCCTGCCCCTTCCTCCCACCGGCAGTAACTCACCGTAAGAGAATCGCCGAGAGCCCCGATGACCTTGATGTCTGCCAGCTTCAGCCTGTGGACTGAGAATGAGAGCACAGATGAACGGAAGATGGACTTCCCATCTCCTCTGAAGATGAAGGAGCGTCTTCAGGAAAACTGAGACAGTCTGTTTTTAGCAGCAGTTCGGCTTGGACGAAGATACTGAGAGCCCATCCTTATCCTAAAGCTCAGCGGTAGCGGCTGTGCGGCCTGTCTGCCGCCTCTCCCTGGGGCGCCCGGACACAGGGCTTGGGGAGCCAGGGGGTAGCCCTGCTGGCGCTGGGTGAGCCCGATGCCACAGCTGAGCGGTTACCCTCAGGACGCGAAGCAGCCCCTGGCAATGTGGTCAGGGAGTGTGGAGGGGACCGCGGAGGAGGTGAAACCTAGACTTCATCTATTCTAGGCTCTGTTGATATTTGGGATAAAATAGTCTTTCATCTTATTAGAAAAAAAAATCAGCTCAGTTTTTCTGAAGTGAAAGGGGGAATGCCTTTATATGACTGACTCTTTTTGAAAAAAAAATCAAGGTGAAATTCACATAATACAAAATGAACCATTTTAAAGCCAACAGTTCAGTGGCATTTAGTACATTCTCCATGTTGTGCCGCCGTAACCTCTCTCTAGTTCCCAAACGTTTTCATTACCCCCAAACGAGACCTGTACCCACTAAGCAGTCACTTCTCACCCCACCCCCTACACCCGCCCTGAGCCCGTGACAACCACGGATCTGCTTTCTGTCTGTGGCTTTGCCCATTGTGGATAGCTCATATAGATGGAATCATACAGCATGTGACCTTTGTGTCTGGCATCCTCCACTTTGCATAGTGCTTTCAAGGTTCACCGTGTAGCAGGTGCCAGTGTGTCATTCTGTTTTATGGCTGAATGATATTCTATTTTATGGATGGACCGCATTCTGTTCATCTGTCTTTATCTGTTGATGGACATTTGGGTTGGTGCCATCTTTTGGCTACTGTGTATAGTGCTGCTATGAACATTCACCTACAAATCTTTGAGTGCCTATTTTGAATTAGTTGGGGTTTTTTTGGAGGGGGTGTTGGTAATTAGGTTTATTTATTTAATTTAATGGCGGTACTGGGGATTGAGCCCAGGACCTCATGCATGCTAGGCACACGTTCTACCACTGAGCTATACCTTCCCCCTGAATTATCTGGGGTAGATACCAACGAGTGGAATTTGGTGGGCCAGGGGATAATCTTATCTGTAACTTTTTGAGGAAACCCCAAACTGTCTTCCACAGCCTGACTCTCCTGTTTCATCTCTTGAGTGTAAACATGCACTCTGATGCAGCCAAGCGGCTGTTTATTTGGACGACAAATGTATTGGCCACCAAGCAGTGGCTGGGTGCTCTGGGGATGAGACAGTGGTCAGAAATGGAGAATGCCCTTGGGAAGCTCACAGGAGAAGCAGGGAATGAAAAATATCCATAGTTATAATCATTTATAGGCTGGTAAACATCATGAGAGGCATAAAGTGATAAGAGGTTCTGGAGCTGGAGGGATGTCTAACCCCCAGGGTGTGTGTTGTGGGGTGGTTCAGAGCAGGTTTCATGAAGAAAGTTTGAACTCAGGATAGAGGAGATATGGATGAGGGAGAGCAAGATAGGGTGAAGGAGAGAGAAGCAGGAAGGGAGATGCAGTAAAGTGTGTGACGTCCGTGAGCAACAGATATGATATTGCTTCTATGTGGAATCTAAAAATAATGATACAAATGAACTTATTTACAAACCAGAAATAGACTCACAGACATAGAAAACAAACCATGGTTACCAAAGGAGGAGGGGGAGGGATAAATTAGGAGTTTGGGATTAACAGATACACACCACTCTACATAAAACAGATAAACCACAAGGTCCTACTGTACAGCATAGGGAACTATATTCAGTATCTTGCAATAACCTATAATGGAAAAGAATCTGAAAAGGAACATAAATATGTATATGTCTAACTGAATTCCTTTGCTGTACACCTGAAACTAACACAACATTATAAGTCAACTGTGCTTCAATTAAAAAAAGAAAGTCTAAAAACCCAAAAGCAACAACTACAAAACCTCCAGATAGTCAAACAGTTTGACTTAAGTGACGAACATGTGAAGGAGACTAACAAAAAATAACATTGGAAAGGCACATTAGGGCCACGGGCCTTTTATGCCTGGCTAGCAAGGTAGGAGATTAACGTGAATATTACCATATAGACACGCATACATACACACATACATGTACGAATCTATATTTACTTGCTTACATACACCTGTCCTACATTTACTGACCCCCTTACCTTACACCCATAAGGACATGAATCCAAGTGTGTTCTGGGAACCACTTAAATTCCTTATGCCATATGTTGCCCTGCCCCCGCACCCCACACTCACCCTGACTTTGATTTAGCTCCATCTTTCTTCAGATGTGCCTTCCCATGGTCTCTAAGGTGCAATGCTGCACCAACTTGTCACTTAGCTTTCTGGCTTGGAAGAGGTCTAATAGAGCATTTGTAGCAGGGGGTGGCCCGTTACTCCAGAGGGAAGGAAGCCCATCATTCTGGTGGGCCAGTGGCTTAAGACTGATAAACTGAAACCCGTCTGCAGAGAGGCTCTCTCAACAGCCCTTCTCTGCCAAGTCACTTTATAAAATGTGCAGTGAAATGCGGAGAACAAGATTCTTTTGACATCACTAGACCACATTTAGCCCATTTCACCTGTCACCATCCAAATCACGTTGTATAATTACATCTGCATGGGAAGCTGTGTTCACACTCAGTGGACACCATATTCAATCTCCAGGTCTCGTCTCCTTCCATGGAGACTTCTTGTCTACCTGACTTCCGTGCAGTCTGCAGATGGGGGAACTGCCAGTCCCACTGAGGATCTGTTCTCATTGGAAAAGTAAAAGTCCCAGCCTCTTCCCTAGGACAGCATGCAAACTAACACGTATACATAGTTGTTAATGTGTGTATGCAAAATACAGAGATCAGTGGTCTTCAAATTTGAGCATGCATCAGAATCATCTGGAGAGCTCGTTAAAATGCAGATGGTTGGTCACCACCCTCAGAGTGTCTGATTTAGTAGGTCTAGGGTGGGCCCAAGGCTATGTGGTTAGAAGAACAATATCAAATCACAAAGCCAGCTGCACCGATTACACACATCCACAGGGCCGAGCCTGAGAACTTGCAAATGACCTCTTCTCAGAGAAATCAGGCTCTGGGTAAAAAAGGCAACAAAATGGAAAATAAGACCTCCTCCCTTCAACTCTGAAGGGTTTATTTTAGCTCCTGATGATGACAGTCAATCACTGTATTCTTGCTGCCATAATGTGTGATCCAGTGAATTCTATGAACATTAACTAGTGTGCAAAGGTTAGGGGAAATCTTTGGGGCTGGTGAAATGTGGGAAAGATGGAGAGATTTGCTTTGAAAGCACATTGCAGTTTGCTAATGGGGCAACGGAAACGGGCCATTCCTGTCTCCTAAATGTGTAGCAGACAGAAAGGAAACACACAGATACATGTGCACTCATGTATGTCCGCATTGATGTGTGCGTATCTATGTGGCGATAGGCTGATACGTGTGTTGGAGGGAGGGGTGGTTTCCTGTTGGTCTTTCTGAAGGACTCCCTGTAAGATAGTAAATCAAAGGAACCAAATCTAAATGGGAGGAGTTTGATCATCTGGCATCTTGTTAAAATAGAACCCAACACATGTCATTGGGTTGATACTCTGGAGACCTTCATTTGAGCTTTGTTAACATCACCGTGGATGATACAGACACAGCCTGGAAGCCCAGCAAATCACTTTAGCAATTGCTCTCCTTGGGGAACAAATTCTTTAGAGATAAGATTAAATTTGTGTAGGCTGATTAGCTCAGCATTATCTGGTACACACTGTCCACCCCTTGAAAGATGTGGATAAACACATCATTAACTCATCAAGATTTCTACAGCGGAGGCCTCTTATCAGAAAGCCATCCAAACTATGATGAAAGATCACAAATAACAAGAAAATGGGTGCCTAAAGTACAGAATGGGGAAACTGCCCACTGGACACAAAAAGGAACAGCAGGATAAAGGACACCTGGGAGCTTTGTCTTGTGTACCCCAACCACTTAAACCACCTGGGGCTGTAATCTGAAAAAACATCTATCTCTTGCTTGTCAGCCAGGGCTGCCCAACCCGTCTGATGTCGGATTTTAGGGACTTATGTAAGGACTTCTGCTGTGGTGGTCAACTGCTGGCACAGGGCTGGGCCTGGTTTCTGTCTTTGAAGTGCTTCAGAGTGAGTTTCTATGAAGAAATATGTGCCTGGAACATAGTAGGAGCTCAGGAAATGTGTTCAGTTGAATTGAAAGCTAAGGAAGAGGTTCTGTGTCAGAGACTTTGCAGCTCACAAAGCCTTCAGTCATGGAAACAGCATGGAAGGGAACTCCGAGTGTCTTGGGGTGACTCTGAACTTGCTCAGTAGGCTGGTCCTGCCAAGGGGACGAGCAGGCAGTTATTCCCTGTGGGGAGTCCTAGTCACAGGCTAGTTTAGGTCACAAGACCCGTGAACAGGTGGTGACAGTAGAAACAGCTTCAGGACTTACACTGCCGGCTCACAATGAGATCACACCCCTGGTGGTCGCCCAGTGCTGTAACCTGGGTCTTTCTCATATCGGTGTTTGAATAGCTCATTTTAGCCAAGTGGGTAGAATAAGTGTCCCAAGGAACTCAGCCTAGTGGGGCTTAGAAAGGGACCAATGGCTTAAAATAAACGAAACATTCCAATTTGTATTATTGGTGACAGTGGCATAGTAATTAGCTTTATGGAACTCTATCTTCAAATCCACTTAAATTTGAATGAATTTTCCTCTCTGCATGGAATTAGCAGCTTGACCTCAAGAGAGCCATCTTCAGTCAATAGTCCACAAGCCATGTCCCCTCCTGTTTCTCCTCTTCTGTTTACAAAATGCTACTCCTTTTCTCAATGGGAAAACCTGAAGTCATCTACCAGGCCCAACATATTTTTCTTAGTTATGCCAACTGTGTTAGGGACAGGGCTGTGAAGGAACATAAAATGATGTAAGTACTTACGAAGCTACAAAGCCCACAGGAGACAGCACTCAGCAAACTGCATGCATGCACTGGCTAGGAGGAAAGAATTGGAAGCATGCGTGCGTTCATTTATTCATGCTACCAAATGGCAGTTGGTAATAAAAGTTACTTACATCAACCCTGTGTATCTCATCCTAAAGCCCCACAGGTCCGTGGAAGAGGTTCATCACTTGTGGACTCTGGATGGAGTAAGAGCCAGGAGCCCAGGCTGCCCGGGGCCGTGGCCGGTTGATGAATCAGTATCCTATCTGAAATGTCCCTTTTCGTTGGCTAGGTGTGTCTGTTGATTAGTTTGAGAGAGACACGGGCAAAGGGGACTACAAAGAAGGTTTTGGAAAACAACTCTGAAGGTAAATCAATTATAAGATAGTCTTGGTGGAAAATTGTCTTAATGGAAGGCACTTTGGTCTAGGTGGTTTTGAAGATCTTTTTCGACCCTGGGAATCTTTGATTTGCTAAAGTAGAAACACTCAATAATTAAGATGAGTTTGATTTCTTGGGCCCCTACCACGTGCTGAGTCATTGGGGTTTAAAGATAAGATGATCTGCTCTTGTAATATGTATCAGATGCCTTCACTGCAATTAGAAACTGCAAACGTGATCTCCAGAAGAGTGAATGACCTCACCCAAAATATGACAGTCATCAAGGGTAATGGTAACATGATCCTGTGCTAAGTCTCTTTGCTACCCCAACAGTCGCATGTGTGATTACAATGTCCAACCCTAGATCAAGTGCAGTAATGAAATGTGTTTTTCATTTTTGTCCAGTTAGCTGTGGCCATCTTTCTATATGACACTTTTCAGGTGGGACTCTGATGTGCAGGCACAGCCTTGGTCCATAAGTGCCCCGACCCAGTGGGTGAGCACGAGTGTTTTGGTCCTGTGCCCCCTTGGTTAGATCTAGGAGGCCTAAATCTGTCCACCTGCTTATCCACACAGCTTCCATCACCAGAGATCTCAGGGTCTCGAGATTTCTTGTGCTTACATCTTCAAGTGCCAATAAACATGATAATCTTCAGGGTCAGGGAATAAAGAGGAGGTCCACATTTTATCTGGCTTTCAGATGTTCAGATATGCTCCAATGGATTGGTTGGTTATCACTGTCATGATGAAAACATAATCTAGACAGACGGCAGAATCTTTGTAGAGCATCCTTTCAGAATGATAAGATTAGAAGGGGATGGATCACATTTCACTTGTAAAAAGTTTGGTGTTAGAACATTCCAA